TGAACGTTCAGAACTTTAGGATCTTACTTTACGGACTTCAAGCAAAGTTGCGGACTTTTGCAGGATTTACAAACCTATAGTTCGAGCCCTGAAGGAATCTAAAATTTGGCTAACAAAAAAAAAGTCTAAAAATTAGCAGTAATTAGCTGTAATTAGGTTATAATTAACTTTGATATTTTTAATTATCTCCTGTAGGTAGAGTAATTACCACCAGTCTTCGCATCAATAAAAAAAGAAGCTCCAAAAAGAAGAAAGTAAAAGGAAGCAATAAAATAACTAACGAAATAAAAGAAGGGAGTATCATTCTCATTTCTCAAGTTTCAAAGTCATAAACTAGAGAATAATGGAGAGGATGAGAAAAATGGCGCGCGTCTGATTTTTTTTTTCTTACATTGAAAAATCAGCCAGATGTTCATAGTCAAATCTACACTACACTGGACACTGTGTGTAGTATATAGTAGTATAGATTTCATTCACAAAAGTTTGTACTCCTCGGAGACATATTGTCACCTGGAGTACCTGTAACCTAGTCCTCTTCGTTTTCATCTATTTCCAAGTAAAATTTAAATTTCTCGCTCAAAAGTCATTTTCGAATGGAGATTCCAAATTGTCGACGACAATGAATAAGCCAAGTGTGTAGATATTGAGGCACACATTGGTCCATTCAGAAAAAGCTCTCGAGATGTTTTCTTTGAGGGGTGTATGGCTTGACCCAAGGCCAAAAACGAGAGATCCAAGAGTCTATTTCATTCAAGAATAGAATGAATGGATCTTGAAAATGGGTACTCGTAGGCGTAATATACCACAGCGGGATATCACTGTGGGTGTTTTGCTGAAAAAGTCTCTTATACTCAACTATAAAAAAGGAAAAAGAAGAAGAAGAAGAAGGAAGGAATTCATTGCTCCTTGCAGGTGAAGACGATATTCTAAATACACTATAACCTGTCTCTCGTTCTCCTTATATACAATAATACTATTTGCTTCTTAAGAATATTAAATGAACCTGAAAACCCTACGCGAATACGTACAAAATTCACCCCTCCAAAACTCCTTTTCATTTCATTATTTTCATTTAAAAAGATCCCTTTTTTCAAGTGCACTTTCGCCACGCTGGATTTTTCCATTTTTCAATACTTCAATTTTTAAATGATACACAGAATAATATTTCTTTTTAATATTGTCATCATTTTCTTTTCTTTACTCTATATATATAACTCGAAATTCTATACTATATAATACGGGTTCTTATAATGTGCATTGAAACAAAAAAGAAATTTCAGCAATTATTAAAATTTCCATATAATAATTCCTATCAAAGTTTCAGCCCAATTGGAAAAGTTATACTGAATTTTATAGAAAATTAATACTAAAATTATTGCATGGAATCTTTCTCAGGGCTCGAACTAAGTTTTGTAAATCCCGTAAAAGTCCGTTTTTTTTTAAATGTCCGTAAAGTCCGCAAATTTGAATGAAAAAAGGACGAAAAGTTCGTAACTTGTATACGATATAATTTCGGAAATTTTGAAAAAGTTGGAAATTATTGCAGAAATTCAATTATTTTCAAAAGTAATAAAATTCTTTACAAAAATTCAATTGTGTTCAAAATTTTTTAAAAATTCTCATAAAAATTTCAATTATCTTTAGAAATAATTAAATTCTTCTCCTCAATTAAATGATTTTCAATATCTACTATTTTCATAAAATTTTCCAAAAGAATCCAATTATTAAAAAAAAAAAAATTAATTAAATTCTCCACAAGCTTTTAATTATTTTCAAAAAATAATAAAAATTTCACAGAAATTTCCTTATTTACAAATTTGTTTTTAATAAATTTCTTCACAATCATTCAATTAATTTTATAAATAATTCAATTCTTACGGAGATTCAATTATTTTAGTAAATAATAAAATTCTTTTTAGGAATTCAATTATTTTCATAAATAATAAAACTCATTGCTGAATTTCAATTATTTTTAATACAATTTTAATCGAATTTCTCAAAAAATGTAATTATATTCTTAGAAATTTTATTAAAATTTGTCCCAAAGAATTCAGTTATTTAAAAATTTATAGATAAAATTCTTTTTGAGAATTCAATTTTAAGAAACATGCAATTATTCAATAAATTGTTATTTGTGTATTTAAAAAATTGAATTCTAGTTGAATTTTCACATAAATAACATTGATTTAAAAATGGATTTCAGTTAAAATTTTGGATTATAATTGAATTTTAAAAGCAGTAGAGGCGTAAATGTTTATAATTGAATTTGAAAAAGGTTTCAGATTAAAATCTTTGAAAATTTGAATTTTTCATATTTTTAATTAACAATTATGTTGAATTAATTTTTTGAGAAACTTTAATTGCGGATTTTTTTTAATATTATTTGAAGTTTTTATTTTCTGATATATGTTTAATTGAAGAATTTATAAATAATTGAAATTTTGTAAAATTAAATTGTAAACAAATGATTTTGAAAATTCTTAAAGAACTTTTTCAAAAATTATTAAAAATAATAGATTTATAGAAAATGTTTAGTTGAAAACACGAAAAAAAATTCAATTTTGTAAAAGATAGAAATTATTGCAAAAATTCAATTGTTTTCAAGAATAATATTATTCAAAAGTAATGTTTTTCGCGCAAAAATTAAATATTGTTTAAAAGTAATAAAATTCTCCTTAGGAATTCAATTATTTTCACAAACAATAAAACTCATTGCAGAATTTTAATTATTTTTCAAAGTTTTATTAGAATTCTTTGATAGAATTTAATTATTTGAAAATTTGTTGATAACGATTCTTTATGGGAATTGAATTTTAAGAAACATTGAATTATTCAATAAATTATTTATTTTTGTATTTAAATAATTGAATTCTAGTAGAATTTTCCAATAAAAATTGATTTAAAAATGAATTTCAGTTAAAATTTTAGATAATAATTGAATATTAAAAGCAATGTACCGTGAATTTTTAAAAATAATTGAAGTTTGAAATTACTTTTTTTTTAAAGTTCAATTGAATTTTTTTATTATTATAAAAACTTCAAATATATTTGAAGTTTTTATTTTCTAATATTTATTTATTTAGAGAATTTACGAATAATTTAAATTGCGTAAAATTGAATGTAAACAAATGAATTTGAAAATTCTTAAAGAACTTTTTCAAAAATTATTAAAAATAATAGATTTATAGAAGATGTATAGTTAAAATCACGAAAAAAAATTCAATTTTGTAAAAGATACAAATTGTTGCAAAAATTCAATTGTTTTCAAGAATAATATTATTCAAAAGTAATGTTTTTCGCAAAAATTGAATATTGTTCAAAAGTAATAAAATTCTTCTTAGGAATTCAATTATTTTCACAAACAATAAAACTCATTGCAGAATTTCAATTATTGTTAATACAATAATTTTAATCGAATTTCTCGAAAAATGTAATTATTCTTAAAAATTTTATTAAAATTCGTTGATAGAATTCAATTATTTGAAAATTTGTTTCAATATTTGGTTAAATACAAATAATATTTGTTTTAATATTATTTTAAATTTAAGTTTTTATTTTCTAATATTTATTTAATTGAAGAATTTACGAATAATTTAAATTTCGTAAAATTGAATATTGTAAACAAATGGATTTGAAAATTGTCGAAGAACTTTTTCGAAAATTATTAAAAATAATCGATTTAAGTTAGAATTTTAGTTAAAAATTCTTGTAAATAATAATTGAATTGCAAATGATTTTAGCACTTGGTCATCTTTAATTATTATAAATTAATTATTATCTTCATGTTTTATATAGTTATGAAAAATTTAATTAATATAGTTTTAAGTAAAATGTTGTCTTATTTGACTTGGACTGGTAATATTTTTGTTAGTAATTGGACCGTAATTTTTCATTTTTGATCCGTAAAGCTCGTTTTTTTTAAATATTTTCACTAATTCGAGCCCTGCTGACTTTTTAAAATTTTTAAATGTTAAAAGAAAATTGAAAAAAATGTAAAAATATTCGAAATTTAAAAAGCAAGTGACACGTTTAAAACGTTAAAATACATTGTGGCACATATTACAATATATCATGAATTATGAAACAAAATTCTAAGTCATTATTTAATCATACAACAAAGTAGTAAATTATCATTTAACAATGTTAAAAAACTTTTTAATATTGTTAAATGAAAATTTGAATTATAATGTATATGCAGACAAAATGTAAAGTTAAAAAGTATGTCAAAAAAATGTTAGTTCAATTACAAAAATTTTCTTGAGAAGCAATATGATTATAATCAACATTTTTTCTGTGGTATTCATTATTTACTACCAAGTGAGTTTAGTTAAATTCTGGTCAGTGAATCATTCTGTTTATTTATTTTACTTTTTTAATTAGTTTTTCAAAAGAAATTTTTTGATTATTGATACTTAACCCGTTGCTTGTTTCCGACCCACAGGTGGGTCGTGTTCACTATCACTCAAAATAAATATAATTTGTATATAAATTGATAGATATTTTTCTTTATATCAATATTATAAGAAATTATAAGGGTCTTTAATGATATTTTAGAAAATAATTGAATAATTAGTTATAATTTAAATATATTATACTATTTGAAAAAGTAGCAGATTCCGCTGGGCATTTTGGGACAATCATGTTGTATTTTCCTCAAACAGTTAAGGGGTTAATAATTTATAATAATGAAATTAAGTATAAATATTTTACATTCCTTTACAACCTGATTTTTTATCAGTTAATTATTATAGCAACTTCAAGCTTTGGAATAGGTCCAAAGGATGATCTCGAAAAACATCGAATCAATGTTGTACAAAATTTATCCGTAGGACAAATTTCAGGATCATGTATCATTCACTGGAATTCGATATAAATTTAAAGTAGATGTACCTTTATACAATCCGGATTGTCAAACCAGGCAGAAGCATCTAACACAGTATTTAGAATTCAAACGAGGTCCCTTTTCTTCATTGGGCATAATGCATGCCTGTGTTTCTTTAAAAACTTCCTCTCAAAAAAATTTAACAGCTCCAAATATACAATTCATTTTTATACCGATTTTCACTTCGCCTGAAAATGGCATGTACTACACAAGTTTCGATCAAAAAATATTACTAATACACCCCAAAAGTACGGGTTACCTGAAACTTAATGAAACTGATCCAGTGTGGAGTGAACCTCTAATAGACTTTAAATTTTTCTCTGACGGTGTAGATTTTGATGAACTACTGGAAGGAAATCGATTAGGACTAAAAATTATTGATACAAAAGCAATCAGGGAAAGTAATTTCGAGCTTGATAGAACACCTCTACCGGGTTGTGAACAACATGAATTTAATTCTGACAATTATTGGCGATGTTCTGCAATGCATTACACTGTATCAATGTTTCATCCAACTGGTACTTGTAAAATGGGTCCGAAAAATGATTCGGAAGCTGTTGTTGATGCGAGACTACGAGTTTATGGTGTCAAAGGATTACGAGTGGCTGATGCATCAATTATGCCATTAATAGTAGGAGCGAATCCACAAGCAACTGTAATGATGATTGCTGAAAAAGCTAGCGATATGATCAAAGAAGATTGGAGTTAATTTTTTTTTAGTTTTTTGGTTCTTTTTGAAAAGTAAGTAATGACTGCAAGACACCCATTGTCAAAATCATAGTAATACTACAAAAGAAAATAGTTCTAACAATTATATTCTTTTATTTGTTGTTTAGAATAAATTTTTATAAATATGGTCACGATTTTTCTTATTAAGTTTTCATGTCTCGGAACTCTGTCTCATTGATATTTAATATTATTATTATTATTATTATTATTATTATTATTATTAATCGATATTAATTATTACTTTTATTATTAACTTATTATATATTATAATGCACACTCTAGAATAATAAATATTAAGTGCAAGAAATGAAATTTTCAATTATTTAAAATTGGCTTCGAGTGTAAAATAATTGAACAATTTAATACATCTAATTACACTAAATATTAAAATTATTATATAAATGTATTAAAATATATACTTCTACATTATAGAGCTAAAGAAATGTACTACAAAATAATTGCAGAAAATAATTTATGCTAGAATTATAAATAAGTTGCAACAATTTTTAAAGTAGTTCAAGTAATTAGATAACATTACAAAGTAGTAGAAGTTTCATTATTATCATACAAAGTAGAAAATATATAAATATTAAATTGTTACCCCAACTTAATAAATTTTCGAAAAAAGCTCAGTTTCTATTCATTATTAATATAGAAAAGTTATGATTTTGTTAAATATTTTTTCTGTAGTTTTCATTTTTTATTATCAAGTAAGTAACTGAAAACGAGAAAGTTAAAGATACAATTTTTACTTCAGTCAATTTTTTAAATTTTCTCCTTACTCTAATGTTTTTTTTTATTAATTTATATTTTACTAAATGTTTTCTTTAATGTCATTTAAATCTTTATTTTCTAAACCTAAAATAGTAAAAAGCTACTAAAAATAAAATGACAAAAACTCATTTGCAATCAATGAAATATTACTAACAATAAATTTTACTAATCAGTGAAAATTCAATATAACAATTTTTTTTAGATTTACTTTATTAAAAGTCGGTAATATATTAAAAATCGTTAATTTTATTAATTAGTTTGTAGTGAATCAGATGACTAGCAATTAATTTAATTAAACTAAAAACTTAATAAATGTTCATTAATAATTAATAAAAATTTTTCAAAATTCTTTCAACAATTCAAATTTAGAGTAATAATTAACTTTTGAAAACATATTGCAAGGAAATTAATTTCCTTTTGTTAATTAGGCATCTTGGATATTTACGATTGTGCCAGAAGATATTTGCAGTTTCAAATATAATTCATTATTATCAACCTTGTCTCTTTTAAATCCAGATGAACTTGTTTCACAGGTACGTGAATAGTTTTCATTCTTAAAATTACATACAAGCATTTAACCCTTTCGTGCCATGAGAAACCCAGCCAGTGAATTTTATTGAAATTCGTTACTCGGGGGGTTTTCAGGATTGATGATTACGAATCAGAAGTCAAATTTTCGAAATTCAAAATGGCAACCCTGAAAAACCCCGAGTAACAAGTTTCAAGCGAATATGAGCAATTTTGAACAAAATTTTCCACTAACTTGAATTTTGAGAATTTTGAAAATCTGACTTTAGATTCGTAATCAGCGACTCCGAAAACCCCTGAGTAAGAAGTTTTAAGCGAATTTGAGCAAATTTTGAAAAATTAAATTTTGCTATTTTTTTGACGATATTTTACCTATTGTTTATAATAATTATAGTAGTACTATGTAATTTCCTATTTTTTATATGTATAGTAGTTACGTTGGTGATTAAAAAAAGCTTTATTAATTGCTTATTGGTAGCTTAAAATTATAAGAGTTTTATTAAATTTTATAAGTGGTACATATATGTATCAAAGGCGCGAAAGGGTTAAGGTAATTCGAAAAAATTTCTCTCGAAATGCAATTAAATAATATAAATGTTGTAAATATTTTATAGGATTTTGAATTAAACAAATTACTAACGTTTTCAGACTGTAGAAAAAGAACCAAGAGAAGTCGATTTTATAATAATAGGAGCAGGAACAGCGGGATGTATCCTAGCCAATAGATTATCAGAGAACAAAAATTGGAGTGTAGATAAAACTATAAATGAAATATTTTCTAAAAACAAATTTTTAATCTTTTCCAAAATCAATGATTCTCAAAATTTTCCACAGATACTTCTATTAGAAGAAGGTGGAGAGGAGCCACTAATAACCAGTATTCCAGCAACATTACCAGCTCTTGAAAAAATTAGTCGAATTTATCGAGCCCTATCAGGCGAAAATTATTGTTTGGCAAACAATGAATGTTGGTTTGTTAATGGAAAAGTAATTTCTAAAAAATTATATTTTTTGCAAAAAAATAAATTTCAAACATACAACAAATTATTTTCTCCTTAATTAACATTGGGAAGAAATAAATTTCCTCATTCAGTGAAATTATATTAACTATTTTCTCCGTTCAGGTTATGGGAGGAAGTAGCAGCATTAATGGAATGATGTACACCAGAGGTAACAAAGAAGATTTTGATACTTGGACCCAATTAGGAAATCCAGGCTGGGGATATAAAGAAGTACTGCCTCTTTTCATTAGATCAGAAGATAATAGGGACATAGATGTGAGTAACAAGTAAAAAAAAGAGTACACTATAAATATTATAGGATATTTCACGAGTAGTGCTACTTATTAGAAGTAGTTCTAATATTAGCGGTAGTGCTATTGAATTCTCGTAATTATAATTATTAGTAGTGTACAACTTAGTAATAGCTCCGGTATTTATAGTTTCTAGAAATTTTAGCACCTAATTTTTGTTGTACAATATTTTTAGATATTAACCTCCAATCCAGATTACCATGGAACTGGTGGCTATCAGTCTGTTCAAAGATTACCATACGTAGATCCAATCGCAACAACTCTTCTTCAAGCTCTACAAGAAATTGGCTACAATACTACAGATTTGAACGGACCGAACCAAATCGGATCGATGCGAGTGCAAGCAACATCAAACAATGGATCAAGAGCAAGTACAAATGTAGCTTTTCTTCGACACATTAGAACGAAACGACACAATTTAATTATTCGTACAAATACCCGAGTGGTGAAAATTATAATTGATAAGGGAAAAAGAGCAAATGGTGTAGAAATCACCTCACTGGAAACAGGAGCAACTGACATTATCACAGCAAAAAAAGAAGTCATCCTATCAGCCGGAGCAATTGAATCACCAAAATTACTAATGCTTTCTGGAATAGGTCCAAAGGATGATCTCGAAAAACATGGAATCAATGTTGTGCAGAATCTATCCGTAGGACATAATCTTCAGGATCATGTAACATACACTGGAGTTCGGTACAAACTGCGAGAAGATGAACCTTTATACAATCCGGATTGTCCAACGAGACAGAAGCATTTAAACCAGTATTTAAAATTTAAACGAGGTCCGTTTTCTTCCATTGGTATAATTCATGCTACTGCGTATTTACAAACTCCAAATGTACAAAATTCTTTAGGTTCGAACATACAGATCCTTTTTAGGCCTAATGTTACATCACAAGACAGTTGCATGTACTATGATAATTTTGATCAACGAATAGTTTTGTTACTTCCTAAAAGTACCGGCTATGTGAAACTCAATGAGACCGATCCCGTCTGGGGAGAACCTTTAATCGACTTTAAATATTTCTCTAACAGTGCAGATTTGGATCAACTAATGGAAGGAAATCGAGTGGGACTAAAAATGATTGATACAAGAGCAATCAGCGAAAGTATTTTCGAGTTTGATAGAACACCTCTACCGGGTTGTGAACAACATGAATTTAATTCTGATGATTATTGGCGATGTTCTGCAATGCATTACACTGTATCAATGTTTCATCCAACTGGTACTTGTAAAATGGGTCTGAAAAATGATTCGGAAGCTGTTGTTGATGCGAGATTACGAGTTTACGGTGTCAAAGGTTTACGAGTGGCTGATGCATCAATTATGCCGTTAATAGTAAGAGCGAATCCTCAAGCTACTGTAATGATGATTGCTGAAAAGGCCAGTGATATGATCAAAGAAGATTGGAGGTAATTTTGTTTTAGTTTCATTTTTTCTATAAACAGCGCGTAATGTCATTTTTTAGTTGTAGTGAGGTTATAAATTTACAGTTTATTTGAATTCATTATAGCAGATAAGTGCGCGCTTAAATTCAAGTTCAAATATTTGTGCTCAAATTGCATTTAAAACTGTAAAACAAGATTATTTGAAAGTTTAATAGTCGTTAAATTTTATTTGTTTTATCTTTAAACACAACTTTTAAAAACGTTTGTTTATAAAAATTGATCACATCTTATTTTATCTTATCAAGATAATCTGCTTTTTATGTTCATCACAGCTTTAAAAGTTGTATATATACATTCTTATTAGCAATTTTAAGATCCATTTTATTGTTATTTCTTTTCATTTCATTATAGTAATGTTATAATAAATGAATGAGAATTACGAATTTGTAATTTTTGTCATTCAGATTATTAACAGAGAATTAATTAATGGGCATTAATTATTAATAATATATGAAGTGTTAATACTCCTTTATGTTAAGACATTTATAATTTAGATGATATTTTTTTATATTTAAGCCAATAGTCCACAAGAATGAAAAAATCTTTTTATTAATTATCAATATTAATAAATTATTAGTAATATTATCATTATAATTTATTATATATTACTATATGTACACTATAGGAGTGTAAAATAATTGAACATATCAATGCATTTAACTTTGTTGAATATGAAAATAATTATATAAATATATATACTTAAATAATTATAGTGTTAAGGGAGATTACTCATGAGAAAAAAAAATTTTCGAATTTTTTGTTGTTGCTTTTTTAAAATCCTTAATATTTTTAGAGTACAGGTTTAAATTTTTATAAAGAAATTTAACTCCTATCAAAAATTATAATACATTACACTACCACCGGTATGGCTCCACGTGCATGGCCCAAAAACATACCAATCTTTAAATCATAATATTCCTGTAAAAAGTAATGTCAGAAAACTTAACAAATCTACCGTTTGAAAGCTTATAATATTATATGTTAAATGATATACAACTTGGAATTTTAGGAAATTACACAATAATTTTAACAATCGACAAATTTAAAAAAAAATTAAAAAGTGAAAGTTTTTTTTGACAATTTTTTAAACTCGGACATATTTTTTAAAAATTGCAGACAAAATTTAAAACTTATATAGGTGGCATCCTTTAAGTCTCATCTTTAATTTAAGACCAAAAACGTTAAAAATCTTGTTCGGTTCGCGAGATATAAATGTCAGTGCATGTTTTTGGACAAATGCATTGAATTAGTCAATTTTGTATGGTTTTTGACATTAAAAAGGCTCGCGACTAACATGAAGAAGCTTATAAGGAAGTTTATAACTTACTTTATTGACCTAGGATAGCAAATTAAAATTTGGTAAACTCTTATAAAAACATTTTACAAATAAATCTGAAAAAATCATACTTAAACTTTAACTGCGTTTTTCTCGAAAGATGTTTTTTAAATCGATTGCAGGGATCCTGAGTAAACGGATAGATGTTTGTCTCATTCTTTTTGCATATTGTTAAAAATTATGTTCTTTAGTGGGTATACCTAAAAAATTAAATAAAAAACCATTTTTAATACTTTTTTTTAATAAAATATGTCGGGAAAAAAAATGTCATTTTTTAATTTTTTTTGTTAAAAGTGGTGCTATTTTTTAAATTTTGATTTTTTAAGAAAATTTTAGGTATAACTCAACTGTAAAAGCTCTTCTATTCTTTTGTTTTAAACTACTGGGGACGACTCTAGACCTGCAACCGCAAAGCGCCTCAAAATAAAAGCATAGTTTATGACGCCCTCTACAGCCTAACATAATATAAAATTTTTTTCTATTTTAATTGTTTTTAATACTTTAAATCATACTTTTTATTATGCAAAAAGGCTTTTTAAATTTTATAATAAAATAAGCGAGAGAAAAATGTCGAATTTTTACATATTTTGCACACTTCTCATGAGGGATCCCCCTTAAATGATTTTAGAAAATAATTTCTGTCAGAATTATAAAGTAGTTGCAATATGTTTTTAAAGCAGCTGAAGTTATGAGATAACATTGCAAAGTAGTATTAGTGATAGCAAATGTACAATATACTCATAAATACTGGAAATTTAAATATTAAACTTTTACCCCGACTTAATGTATTGGCGAAAAAGGATCAGTTGCTATTCATTATTATCATTGAAAAATTATGATTCTGTTAAATATTTTTTATGTACTCTTTATTTTTTATTATCAAGTAAGTACCTGTGCATGAAGAAATTAAATTCATAATTTTTAACATTTTTAATTTTCTTAAATAAATTTATTGTTAACTATTTGAGTTTCTTAAAACTTTATTCTCCATATCTGAATTAGTAAATAAGAAAATGACAGGAAGTTATTTTGCAATCAGTTAAATTTTACTAACAGAAAAATTTAATTTGTAAAATTTTACTAATAATTAGTAGATTTATTTTATTAAAAATTAATCAATGTTCATTAATAACTAGTAAAAATTTCACTATTTGTTAGTAGTATTTTACCAATTCAGATTTATAGAGAGTTATTCATTTTTAACAACATATTGCAAGGAGATTAATTTTCATCTATTAATTAGACTTCTTGGTTACTTACAATAATACCAGAAGATGTTTGCAGTTTCAATTATAAAACATTATTGTCAACCATGACTCATTTATATCCAGATGAACTTGTTTCACAGGTAAATGAATAGTTTACATCTTTTAAATTGCAAGCAGATAATATAATAATTCAGAAAAATTACTCTGGAAATAGTATTAAATATAATACATAATTTGTAAATATTATAAAAGATATAAAATTTACAAAAAGTTACTGATAATAATTCTTATATAATTGTTTTCAGACAATAGAAAAAGAACCAGGAGAAGTCGATTTTATAATAATAGGAGCAGGATCCGCTGGCTGCATTTTAGCTAATCGATTATCAGAGAACAAAAATTGGAGTGTAGATAGACATTAAATGAAACATTTTTAAAAAAAGTTTAATCTTTTCCAAAATCAAAGAATCTCAAAATTTTTCACAGGTACTTCTATTAGAAGAAGGTGGAGAGGAACCATTAATTGGTAGTATTCCAGCAACACTACCAGCTCTTAAAAAAATTAGTCGACGTTATCAAACCGCATCAGGTGGAAATTATTGTTTGGCAAATAATGGATGTGTGTTCGTTAATGGCAAAGTAGGTTTTGAAAATATTTATAACAAATGGATTAAAAAGATGCAACATAAATTAGTTTCATTTTAGTGAACACTAAAGTGAAAATAATTTTGATATCCATTTACATTAAATATTTTCTCTGTGTAGGTAATGGGAGGAACTAGCAGTATTAATGTAATTATGTACACAAGAGGTAACAAAGAAGATTTTGATACTTGGACCCAATTAGGAAATCCAGGCTGGGGATATAAAGAAGTCCTACCTTTTTTCATCAGATCGGAAGATAATAGGGACAAAGATGTGAGTATCAAGTAGAAAAAATAGTGTACTACATTTAATCTGTAACATCCTTTAAGACAGATATTATTATAGTACTACAGATTTGTAGTAGTACTTCATAATTTAGTAGTTCCATTCGTTAATATTTATGATCCAGAATCTAATTTTCGTTGTATTATATTTTCAGATATTAACCACCAATCCAGATTATCATGGAACTGGTGGCTATCAATCTGTACAAAGATTACCATACGAAGATCCAATAGCAACAACTCTTCTTCAAGCTCTACGAGAAATTGGCTACAATACTACAGATTTGAACGGATTAAACCAAATCGGATCGATGCGAGTGCAAGCAACATCAAACAATGGATCAAGAGCAAGTACAAATGTTGCTTTTCTTCGACCCATTAGAACGAAACGACGCAACCTAATTATTAGAACTAATACTCGAGTGGTGAAAATTATAATAAATGAAGAAAAAAGAGCAAATGGTGTAGAAATTACCTCACTCAAAACAGGAGTAACTGAAATTATCACAGCAAAAAAAGAAATCATCCTATCAGCCGGATCAATAGAATCACCAAGATTACTTATGCTCTCTGGAATAGGTCCAAAGGATGATCTCGAAAAACATCGAATCAATGTTGTACAAAATTTATCTGTAGGACATAATCTTCAGGATCATGTAACATACACTGGAATTCGGTACAAACTAAGAGAAGATGAATCTTTATACAATCCGGATTGTCCAACGAGACAGAAGCATTTAAACCAGTATTTAGAATTTAAACGAGGTCCTTTTTCTTCAATGGGCATAATGCATGCTACTGCATATTTACAATTACCAATAGGAACAAATTCAACTGCTTCAAACATACAGATTCTGTTTCAGCCTAATTTTACCTCACTGGAAAGTTCAATGTACTATGATAATTTTTATCAACGGATAATTTTGTTACATCCTAAGAGTACCGGCTATGTGAAACTTAATGAGACTAACCCCGTTTGGGGTCAACCTCTAATCGACTTTAAATATTTTTCTAACGGTGCAGATTTGGATCAATTAATTGAAGGAAATCGTGTGGGACTAAAAATGATTGGCACAAAAGCAATCAGGGAAAGTATTTTCGACTTTGATAGAACACCTCTGCCGGGTTGTGAACAACATGAATTTAATTCTGACAATTATTGGCAATGTTCTGCAATGCATTACACTGTATCAATGTTTCATCCAACTGGAACTTGTAAAATGGGTCCGAAAAATGATTCAGAAGCTGTTGTTGATGCGAGACTACGAGTTTATGGTATCGAAGGTTTGCGAGTGGCTGATGCATCAATTATGCCATTTATTACAAGAGCGAATCCACATGCTACAATAATGATGATTGCCGAGAAAGCTAGCGATATGATCAAAGAAGACTGGATTTAAGTTTTTAATTTTTAATTTCTTTTTGGATTTTTTAAATTCTTTTTGAACAATATTATGTTTATAACTATCTAGACGAATTATCTCTAGATGTATACCATGTGTGTGAATTATAGACGACATTCAAATGATTTTAAATTTTTGTGTAAATTATTATTTTTCATTCATTGTATCTCATACTGCATAAATTTTTAATTATAATTAGAATAAAAAGTAATATGAAACGAAAAACACTCCAAATTCATTACGTTCTTTTCGTATTTTAATAAAACTGCATTTTTATTTTTTATCGATGATGACGTCAGGCAAAAATTTTAATTTTAACGCTGATCTATTGTGTTTTACAAAAGTAAAAAGTCAGTTGAAATTCCAAATTGATAAGAAAGCAATATGTTGTTATTTAATATTTTTTCTTTACTCTTTATTCTTTATAATCAAGTATGTATTAATTGTATATAAAGTTTTCGTTTTTTAGATGTATATTTTCTATCAATTTATCATTAATATTTTTATAAAAATTTTCTGCTGATTCAAATTGTTGTTTAAATTAGGCATGGATAACATCAGTTTTTACGAATCTTTACGCTTCTTCCATAACATGCAACTTTACTTACACAGCTCTAATATCACTTTTCACCAATGTATATCCAGACGAACATCTTTCACAGGCAGGTGAAGTTTATTAATTTAGTTTGACTAATTTAATTTAATAAATTTTATTAAATAGATTTTAATTATTTTAGTACTATCAATTAATTCTGTACAAGCATTGATATTTAATTAAAAACGAAAAAATTTATTTCAATTTTTAGCCATTTCGAAAAATACCAGAAGAAGTCGATTTTATTGTAGTAGGAGGAGGATCAGCAGGATGTGTTCTTGGAAATAGATTATCGGAAAATAAAAATTGGAGTGTAAATATTCTCTACTCGCTAGCTATAATAATAAACAGTTAAATAATTCTAATTATTAAATTAATTAAAATTTTAGTTTATTAAATCTTATTAATATGAAATAGGTACTTTTGCTTGAAGAAGGAAGCGAGGAGCCTTTAATAACAAGTATTCCAGCGTATTTTGCACTTCATGTAGTTTTACCAATTACTCGGCACTATAAAACAGTGCATGACAACGAATTTTGTCTAGCAACCAATGGATGTGATTTTATTACCGCTAAAGTACTTAATTAAACATTATTAACAGCTTTTCGTATCACAGCTTTTACGACAAACATTATTTATTACTAAAAATATTTCGTAATTGTTCATAGGTATTGGGTGGAGGAAGTAGCATTAACGGAATGTTTTACGTCCGTGGTAACAAAGTTGATTATGACAATTGGGCCGAATTAGGAAATCCAGGTTGGAGTTACAATGATGTTTTGCCATTTTTTCTAAAATCAGAGGACAACAGGGATGAAGAAGTAATTCTGATGATCTGCACAAAAAATAAATTTTCTATGTAGTTTCTAAAGTGATCTACGTTGAACTATTTTATCTAATATCTATTTTTTCTGTACCGAATATTGTGTTATCTGACATCTAATATCTATTGTTATAATATCTAATTTCTATTATAAATAATTCTACCAAATGTCTAATTTTTTAACCTGTTATTTACAGATAATAAAATTAAATCCAGGTTATCATGGCACTGGTGGCTATCAATCAGTTCAAAGAATGCCCTATGCAGATCGACCATCAAAAATTATACTCAAAGCAGTACGCGAACTTGGCTATAATGATACGGATTTTAACGGAGCAAATCAAGTTGGATCAATGCGTTTGCAAGCAACATCGAAAAATGGAGTACGAGCAAGTACAAATGCTGCATTCATTCGACCAATAAGATCAAAACGAAGAAATTTATTCATCAAAACAAATGTTCGTGTGGTGAAAATTTTAATTGATTCGGAAATGGGTAGAGCAATTGGTGTTGAACTTATATTAACGAAAACTGGAGCAACGAAAATTGTTATGGCAAGAAAGGAAGTAATTGTATCAGCAGGTACAATAGAATCTGCAAGATTGCTAATGCTCTCCGGAATAGGTCCTGCAGATGAACTCGAAAAGCATCGAATCAATGTTGTACAAAATTTATCCGTAGGGCAAAATCTTCAGGACCATGTATCATTCTGGGGGATTAGATTTCAAATCCATGGTGTGGATAGAGAAAATGTGAGTTGTCTCATAAGGCAAGCACACTTGCACCAGTACCTAAAATTTAAGAAAGGACCCATCGCCTCCATGGGTCTTCTTCATGCCGTATCGTTTCTGCAAACTCAGAACGCTACCAATTCAACATCTCCAGATATAACACTTGTGTTTTTACCTTTTCCCAAAAAATTCGACACTCCAATTTACTACAATAGTTTCTATCAAGGGGCATTTTTGTTAACACCAAAGAGTAGAGGTTTTATAAAACTAAACACAACTGATCCTCTATGGGGCAATCCGATAATAAATCCAAGATATTTGTCAGAAGAGTCGGACATGAATCGGGTACTATATGCATCGACAATTGGCATTAGGTTGAATAATTCAAAAACATTTAGGGAAAATAATATCATTATTGATGAAACGCCTATGGAAGGTTGTGAACATTTTGTATTTAATACCAGTGAGTATTGGCGATGCTTGGCGAGAAGATACACGCAAAATTTCTTTCACTATGCTGGAACTTGTAAAATGGGGCCAAAGAACGATTCGGAAGCTGTAGTGGATTCTAGACTACGTGTTTATGGAATCAAAGGCTTGCGTGTTGTTGATGCTTCGATAATGCCTGTTATTCCTCGAGCTAATACAAATGCACCGACAATTATGATTGCCGAGAAGGCTAGTTCAATGATCAAGGAAGATTGGATGTAGATTTTTGGTTTTAGAAATTTTCAATGGAAACTAATTTAGTATTGATAAAAAAAAATTGTAATTTCAAATTTCGTATTTGCTTACATAAAAAATTGTAATTACGATACTTTCTTCTATGAAAATTGTCCTAATAAATTAGTACCACAAACAAATATGGGTTAGAATGTATAACAGAATTTGTATTCAAACACTAAACATTTCAAGAACATTGTTAAAATTTTTTGCAGTTGTTTGTTGCAGTACATCATGTTTGGAATCTATAATTTCTATGTACTTCGTGATAATGTTCGTTGATTAGCTCTTTAAATATGAATTCGTAAAATATTACTAACAAATCGTGAAATACAACCAACAAATAGCAAAATTTTGACAATTTATAGCTACTTCTGCTAAAAAAATCCTTATTGTAAAGAAAATAAAAAATTTGTCTCTCCATTGGTCCAAAACTATTTTTGTGCTTAAAGATCACATAGAACTTAAAAATAAGGTTTTAATTTTAAGAGGAAATAAATAAATTTCGTTCATTTTAACGTTCAAAATTTTAGGAAACATTTTAAAGATCTAAAATCCTTGTGAGACGGACGCAATAATAATAAGTTCTGTTAAAAAAATATTATAAGTTTTGATTCTTAAAAATATTTTAAATTTAACTAAAGGACGTATTTTATTTTAAATTTATACAAATTACTTGGCAATATGCATTGACATTTGTAGTAAAATAAGCTTCTTTAACTATTAAAATTTATATAATTTGTATTTAATTTAACTGTATTAAAAATTTTAATGCCTTTTTCAGCTTGTTTTGTAAAAAACGTGAATTTCTAAAATCAGTTGCCATACTTACTTCTTCTATTGCATTGTAATATGTTTTTCTTAAACATCTTCTCATTACTTTTTACTCTTTATAGTCAAGTAAGTATTCGCATGAAATATTTTTAATTTTTGCAATTATTACAATTAGCGATTTTTTCCATTTAAATTTTTTCATTTCATTAATTTCTTTTCTTTTTTATTTTCTTTCTTTTGTACAATATTATTTGCAATACAAAAAAACCTTATAGCAAATAAAGATTTTATTCCAATTTAAATTATTTTTGTAAAAAATTCATTCTCACCCGTTTTAGGCATTTTGGTTATCATCTCTTCTATCGAAGCATTATATTTCTTTGACATGCGATTTAACTCAATCTACTTTATTATCAACTTTTGTGCATCTTCGTCCAGATGAGCATTTTTTACAGGTATGTAAATAATTTTATTTAAAACAAAGCAATTAAAAAATAATTTATTTCTTGAAATAATTAAAAAGAAAAATTGCAAGTGATATAAAAAATAGTAAAATTGCCAATTTAACTCTAAATTTGAATTAGTAAAAATGTTTACTAATTGGAATTAGTGACTGACTTTTTGCTTTTGAATTAGTAAATTTTACCAATAAATTAGTAGAAATTAATATTTATTAACTATATTTACTAATTCAGAAGCAAAAAGTTAGTTACTAATTCAAATTAACAAACATTTTAATTTATCCAAATTTAGAGACAACAATAAACTATTAATGATTTTAGAAACTACAGAAAATACCACAAGAGGTCGATTTTATTGTAATTGGAGCTGGCTCTGCAGGATGTGTTCTCGCCAATCGATTATCAGAAAATAAAAATTGGAATGTAAATAGATATTTAAATATTTAAATTAATTAATTTATATTAACAAATATTGTTTTCTAGAAATAATGATAATAATAGGAATAATAATTGTCAATTGAGTACTTTTAAATTATTTAATTAATTAACAATTGAATAATTATAAATTGACAATTCAATAAATGAAAAATAAATAATATAGAAATAATTTATATTAACGTTAAATAGGTTCTTCTGCTTGAAGAAGGTGGCGAGGAACCTCTAGTATCAAGTATTCCAGGATATTTTTTAATGAATGGAGAGTTACCAATTGTTCGACATTATAAAACTGTGACAAATGGCGAATTTTGTTCATCGACTAATGGATGTTTGTGGCTTGCAGGCAAAGTAATGGATTACCTAATTAGTTTTTTTTTATTAAAATATGAAAATTTCCACCTTCATAAATAGGAGAAAATTAATGGATAAATTTTTCAGGTAATGGGTGGTTCAAGTACAATTAATGGAATGATATACTTAAGAGGTCACCGAGACGATTATAACAATTGGAATACTTTAGGAAATTCAGGCTGGAATTATGATAATGTATTGCCATTCTTTATAAAGTCAGAGGACAATAGGGATGAAGAGGTCAGTAGCACTCAAATTATTACAAAAAAGGAAATCATCTTCTTTCAAAAGATGTTACCATAAAAGTAACTGTTTTCAATTTCCAGATAGTAAAACAGAATCCAGGTTATCATGGAACTGGTGGATATCAATCAGTACAAAGATTATCCCACAAGGACCAAACATCAAAACACATTCTTCAAGCTTTTCAAGAAATTGGCTACAATAGTACAGATTTGAACGGAGCTAATCAACTCGGATCGATGCGGATGCAAGCAACATCGAACAATGGATTAAGAGCAAGTACAAATGTTGCATTCATTCGACCAATTAGAAACAAGCGACGCAATCTAATAATAAGAACGAATTCCCGAGTGGTGAAAATTATAATTGACGGGGAAAAAAGAGCAATTGGTGTAGAATTCGTTTCAACAGAAACAGGAGCAACCGAAATTGTCACAGCAAAAAAAGAAGTGATCCTATCAGCCGGAACAATAGAATCACCAAAATTACTAATGCTCTCCGGAATAGGTCCAGCAGATGAACTCGAAAAGCATCATATCAATTTGATACAAAATTTATCCGTAGGACATAATCTCCAGGATCATGTATCATTTGTGGGTATTAAGTACCAAATAAACGATCCAACAACAAACTATCCGGATTGTACCAAACGAGAAGCGGATTTAAAACAGTATCTTAAATTCAAAAATGGTCCACTTGCATCCGGTAGTACTGGTCACACTTCTGCTTGCTTACAGACAAACAGTGTAAAAAATTCATCATCACCGGATTTCATGGTAGTAACAGTTCCAATAGGCAAACATGTCGATTCAAGCGTTTACTACAATAGTTTCATCCAAGGAGCATTTTTACTAACACCAAAGAGTCGAGGTTTCATAAAACTCAACGCAACTGATCCTGTTTGGGGCAATCCGATAATTAATCCCAGATATTTGTCAGATGAATCAGATATGGATCGATTGATGGAAGGAACTCGTATTATTTTGAAATTAATGAATACGACGGTATTTAGGGAGAATAATATTGTGATTGATGAAACAGTTTTGCCAGTTTGTGAGCAGTTTCAATTTAATAGTGACGATTATTGGCGGTGCTTGGCTAGGCAGAACACGCACACCTACTTTCACTATGTTGGAACTTGTAAAATGGGGCCAAAGAACGATTCGGAAGCTGTAGTGGATTCTAGACTACGTGTTTATGGAATTAGAGGCTTGCGTGTTGCTGATGCTTCGATAATGCCTGTTATTCCTCGAGCTAATACAAATGCACCGACAATTATGATTGCCGAGAAGGCTAGTTCAATGATCAAGGAAGATTGGATGTAGATTTTTTCAATTTAATGAAAAATAATTTAGTATTGTTTAAATTATTTCTAATTAATGCTAGTGAATTAATATTTTATGAGCGTTATTTAGAATTTTTGCGGTATTTTACTGCACTAGAGCATGTTTTGAATCAATAATTTGTATATACTTTGCGAAAATTTGCAAATTTTGCAAAACGAATATGTATTTTATGATATTTTTTTCAATAAAAATAAATAAAAAATAAAAATAATAAAACACTGCAGAGTTGATATTTTCCGAATAAACGAATCCGATTTTTAAAATTATTTCTTTCACAATTAGACTTTGTTTATAATGTATAATTATATATATTTACTTACGAAATTAAATCGACAGGAAACATATGTTGTCTTACTCACCTGAAACAAAACGAAAAGAATAATTTAATTTACAGTATAAACCTTCAAATTTTTCAACATCTGAAAATAATTTCTTTTCAAATAACTCAATTCTTGAAGAACTATCATAAAATTATTACTTATAAATTATTTAATGAATAATTTTACTTAAATATTTCAAAACTAATTGAATGTTAAGAGAGTTTCGTCTACAATTTTTATAAATAAATGAACTTCAAACGATTTTAGTTTGAAATTTTATAAACTTTCAATTTTGAATGAGTTTAATTAGAAATTTTAATGAACTTAGTTTTTGGAAAAATTTTAATAATTCAAATTCTTCTGAAATTAGTTAAATTTGTCAAATATATTAATTATTAAAACTAATGGTTTTGTAGAAGAATTAAGTTGAATACACAAAAAAAATTGAATTTTGGAGAAGTTACAAATGATTACAGAAATTCAATTATTTTCAATATCTACTATTTTAATAAAATTTCACAAAAGAATTCAATTATTTTAAAGAAAAATGTTAATAAAATTGTACGCAAATATTAATTTATTTTCATAAATAATAAAAATTTCATAAGAATTCAATTATTCACAAATTTTTTATAAATTTGTTCGCAATAATTCAATTATTTTTGTAAATAATAAAATTCTTTTTAAGAATTCAATTATTTTCATAAAATAATAATACTCATCGCAGAATTTCAATTATTTTTTAGTACAATAATTTTAACAGAATTTCTCGAAAAATTTGTAAATATTCTTAAAAATGATATGAAAATTCGTCGAAAAAATTCAATTATTTAAAAATTTGTTGATAAAATTTTTTATAAGAATTAAATTTTAAGAAACATTCAATTATTCAATAAATTATTTACTTTTGTATTTGAATAATTAAATTCTTGTGAAATTTTCTAATAAAAATTGATTTTAAGAAATTCCTATGGAAAAATAATAATAATTAAATATTTATTTATAAAGAAGTTATTTTCGAATAATTTTACAATTAAAGAAATTCGTAAATAAATCTAACAGATCATAAATTTATAGTTTAATTGCTGATAAGTAATTCAAATAGTTTAATTTCACTTCTATGAGAATATATAAAATAAAAATTTTTTCCTGTCCTTGCAAATCAAATGTATTATGCAGATGAAAATTACAATAAGTAGTTCTGAAAAATTTGCAATTTTGTCATTCTAATTAGGTTGATTACATTCTTTTTTTTTTGTTACGATTTTCATATGACGTCAAGGACAAAAATATTTTACGAAATAGAATTTATATTCATGAAATTTAAATTTATAAAATTAAAAGTATTACCAATAAAATAAATAAGTAAATTATAAACTACGAGTGTATGGAAAAAATGCACTTGATATTTCAAAATTCAATGGATATTATTTTTCAAAATAATGAATTAAAATGAAACAATTAATAATTTTAAAGAGAAGTTTTAAACTGGAACAACTAAACATTTCGATAATACAGTAAAATTTTTAATTCTTCTAAAAGTAAAAACTTTTTTCTGAATGAACAATAGTTAAAAATATAATTATTTCTTCATACAATGCTACTTGTAATAAAAGTATTAATGATGAAAAAAGTAGTTCTTTTAATTCTTTACAATTATACAAAGGGAAGGCTCCTCGATAAAAATTCTCAGAACTTAAAAAAATTTCAAAATCAACATTTCGACTATTTAAAATTACTTAAAGTTTCTACTAATTATTAGTAACTTTCTACTAAAAGTACAAATAATTTTTAAACTACTTAATGAAGTAGTAAATTAAAAAAAAAATAGTAAAAATCTTCGCTAATTTAAATTTATTGGATTACTTTTTACACTGAGAAAACTATTTATTTGATTCAAACATATTTTTTTTAAATCAAACTTAAAATATCTTTGCTATGCAGTCAAACATATTGAAGTTTAATTGAAACATATTGTTTGGTTAATTTAAAGAAATAATATATTTAATTCAAACATAAGTTATGGTTGATTTTAAATTATTTATAATCAACTTTTAAATTTAAATCAAAGATAAAATTTTTAAACATGAAATTTAAATGAAACTCGTTACTCGTTACTCGTCAGACAAATTATAAAATAAAAATGTTAAATTTCTATGAAATTAGGAGTAACTACAAGTTTATAGTTTCTAATTCATAAACGTACTCAGCGACACCGTAAATCCCTAAGTAATTTGTTTAAAGCGATTTTAGTAGGTTTGGAATTATTGTTCCGACATATTGGATCTGCCATTTTGAATTTTGAAAGACTGACATCGAATTCGTAATCAGCGACACTGAAAACTCCTGAATAACGAGTTTGAAGTATATTTAATGCGATTTTTAAAATACGTCAGCCATATTAGATCCGCCATTTTGAATTTTGAAAAACTGACTTCGGATGCTTAAACAGACCTCGAAAATTCCTGGGTAACGAAAGTTATAGAAATCCATAAATTATTTTGTGAAATTGTTTATAAATAGCTGTAAAATTTGCAATTTGTAATTTTTTGACTGGCCTCTTTCAGATAACTTTTATAGTACTATTAATTTGAATTTAACATACTTTTTGGAATCTAAACACAAAAAAAAATATTGTGCAGAAATTTTCTCCATTTTCTTCCTTCGATTGTAAAACTATCCGTAATATACAAGTTCAATGGCATTCTATGGAATATAATTAATTCGTTTCTTATGCAACCCAATTTTAAAAATAGCACAGAATAATCATGTGATATTGAAGTTAACGAATTTACATGAATTATCTCTATTATGTAAGAAAACTGTATAGATAGTTAAATTTCATACAATGTATGTGAATTTTTAAAAATCGAAAAGCGAATATAAAAGACAGCCAAAATAATCGAATTTCATAACAACTGCCATCATGCCACCTGGTTGGGAACCACTTGAAATGTTCATTCTCTTCGTTGTTTCATGTGAGCATTAAACTATTTATTCATCAATTTTTACAATTTATAAATTTCATCAAAAATTTCTCTCTTTTATAAATTGGTATTAAAATTGTGCTTTAATTTTAAAATTCGGTTCGACTTGAAATAATTGAAGCGTAACGTTGCTAAAATTAACGTTTTTTAACTTTAGTATGCAAAAGAATGCGCAAAAATTTTTGATGTACTGGAAATTAAAATTTGCTAAAGCTTTTTAAATGAGTAAAATTTGTAATTGTTAATTAAGTAAATAATTTATTTCTTAATTAAATATTCAGATAATTTATTAATTTTTCTATTTAGTTAATTTATAAATTAACTAGTTACATAATTTATTAATTAAATAATTAATTATTTGACATCGTAATTAATTGTTTAATTAAGAAATTCATTATGTAATGTATTTATATATTAACTATTAAATTAATTATTTAATTAACTAATTAACTATTTTCTTACTGAACTATTCAATTAATATCTAAATGAACTGCTTAATTCAGAAATTAATTAATATATTTATTAACTATTTAATTAAGAAATTAATTAATTTATTAATCAATTGATTAAATAATAATGTCATATCAATTATAATATTTATAATTAAAATTGATTATAAATTATTATTTACTGTCAAAGTCAAAAAAAAAAAAAACATAAAATTAATTAAATTATAACAGATTGTTTAATTTTTTTTTATAGATCTTGCAAATGGAATTACAAAGTTGCTTCAAAGCTTCTCTCCCTTAATTAAAGCGGTTGGAGGCGTTGGTGGGCTTCCAATAGGATAGTAACTATAAATGAAAATCATGCTCAAATTCTAACATCTATGTCTACATCAAAGTAGATTTGACTGTGAAAAAAATAAAACAATTGTAACTAAAAATTATTGTACTATTAAATATCACCCTTCTGATACTTATTTTACAATTAAGAAGTATTTTTAAATTTAATCTAATTTAGTACTTCAGCTAAAAATTTTTAAATTTTAAAAAAAAGTTAAACAAAAAGACTAAATTATTTCTAGAATCAATTCTTTTTATGCAGAATAATGGAAAACTTTTTTGAAAACTTATTAAAAATTTGAAAAGAATAGAAACACGTTTTTAACCCGTAACCATGACCCAACGTTGGGTCGTGAACTTCTTAGCGTAAAATAGCAATTTGTTATTTAAATTATAAAATAAATTCTTTTATAACATTAGGGGCCATTCATTAATTACGTAAGGGTTTTTAGAAGAGGGGGGGGGGTTTGGAAAATCTCTACATGGCCTTACGTCGGGGGGGGTGGGGGGGTCAAAGCCATTCTTACGTAATATTTTATACTTAAGGGGCACACCTAGTGTGAGTGACTGACAAAAACGTCGATTTTTAGGAATTTTTTTCAGGGAAATTATTGCATCTAATTTTTTTTAAAGTTTTGTACATGTATATTTGTATAAATAGTGAACATTTTGTAATTTTTTCAAAGAAAAATATCTTTTTTTTAAAGAGTTATTCGCTATATCCAAAAAAAAAACAGTTTTCCCACTGCTGCAGTTATTGCGGCCTTCTGAGTGACTGAAATCAAAAAAACCAAAAAGATTATTAAACTAGAAGATATTTGCCGTACAATGCGGCTCCAGTTTTTTGATTGGATGAAAAATAAAATTTTGGGATGCCAAAAACCATAGGATTTTTTTGGCGAAATTTAAAAGCTTTTTTCAAAACTCCGCCATTTTGTTGCAATTCAATATTTTTTGACATCCGAGGGTCATTATACGGCAAATATCTTCTAGTTTAATAATCTTTTCGGTTTTTTTGATTTAGGTCACTGAGAAGGCCGCAATCACTGCAGCAGTGGGAGAACTTTTTTTTTTTTTGATACTCAGGAGATAGCGAATAACTTTTTAAAAAAAAGATATTTTTCTTTGAAAAAATTACAAAATGTTCACTATTTATACAAATATACATGTAGAAAACTTTAAAAAAAATTAGATGCAATAATTTCCCTGAAAAAATTCCTAAAAATCACCGTTTTTTTCAGTCACTCACACTAGGTGTGCCCCTTAAAGTCGACATTCGCCCGGGAGCGAATTTATACACAGACTTCACTCAATCAATTAATTTGCTCAATTAATTAAGCATTTTTAATATAAAAAAAATAAATAATAGAATTATTTATCGTATAGAATTAAAATTAACAAACAATTGGATTCATAGGCATATTGAATAGAAGAAATACCTGTTTTTTGCTTTTAATTTGCAATTGCTTAAACAAATTAATAATAATTTAACAATTTTTGAAAACTGTTGACGCGAATCGATTCTGTGTAAAAAATTAAGAAATTTTAGTACCTATAGATTATTTTTTTGTCCAAGTCGTATTTTGTTCACAAAATTGTTTTAAACAAATTATGCTGAATAAATATGGTGTTTCATCCCAAGCAAAAGCAATTGGAAATTAAAAACAAAAAACAGGTATATAATAATTTTTACAATTTGCCTATGAATTTAATTGTTAATTTTACTTTAAATCCATTTCTTTATCCTTGGTGTGAAACACCATTTATGCAGCATAATTTGTTTAAAACAATTTTGTGAACAAAATACGACTTGGACAAAAAAATAATCCATAGGTATACTAAAATTTCTTAATTTTTTGCACAGAATCGATTGGCGACAACAGTTTTTAAAAATAAAATGTTTTTATTAATTTGTTTCAACAATTATTGTTAAAAAATTGGAAATTATAAACAAAAAAACCTCTTTTTAGGGTTCCGTACACACTACGGTGTAACGGCGGAACCCTATTGGTGAGACTCTTGTGTCCGTAGCCAAATCGTGTCCCCCCCCCTAGCGGCTAAACTATTTGACCTAAAGAGCTCAAATTTGGTCCAGATATGTATTTTCACTCGTAGATTACAGGAAAAATATAGCGAAATTTTGCATGCTGGTGTATTTTTACTCGAATATTACAGGAAAAATATAGAGAACTTGATATGTAATGATGGCCTTAGCGTTGTCAAGAAAAAACTAAAAAATTTAAAAAACAAAATTTTTTTTTCCTAACTTTTACATTATTTGACCTAATGAGCTGAAAATTGGTATCGTAGTGTATTATTACAGTCTGACGACAAAAAATTTATACTTTTTGAAAAACTTTTTGAAAAAAAATCAAAAAAAATTTTTTAATTTTAAAAAAAAAAAAAAATTTTTTTAATTTTTTTTAAACACGTGGCATTAAATATTTTATGGAAGAGTGAAATTTTAAGAGAATAAGTGAGAGATTGTTTTCTGACTTTAATTTTTTAACTAAAAATAAAAAAAAATTGGACAAGTGCGAGTTGTACTTGCACTGCAATGGCGGGTTCCGTACACAAATACTAAAACAATACTTGCAACATTTATCGGTAATTGGTAGAATTAAAATAAACAATTTAAAAAATATATTAAAATCATTTGATAAAAAAAAGAAGTAAAAAAAAATTAAAGTTAAAAAATTATTATTTTTAACAAGATTTGATATACAACACTTTAATTTTTTTTTAGTTATTTTTTTTATCAAATGATTTTAATACCTATATTTTTTTAATTGTTTATTTTAATTCTACCAATTACCGATAAATGTTGCAAGTATTGTTTTAATATTTGTGTACGAAACCCGCCATTGCAGTGCGAGTACAACTCGCACTTGTCCAATTTTTTTTTTTTTTAAGTTTGCCTGTTAATCCAATTTTTAATTTTTTAATGCAATGATTGATTTCTTCATAAGACTTAATGGATTAAATATTGAAATTAATATTTTTTAGCATTTGTTAATTAATATTGTTTAAATAATCGATTATTGAATTTCATTGTTTCAACTTTAGAATGAAATATATTGAAAGGTTTTATTAGAAAACTGCATAAAAAATAAAGAATTACTTATAAGATAAACAATTCTATTATTTATTTGTTTATTAAAAATGCTTAATTGATTAGGGTAAGGGTCCCCAAGGTGGCCACCCATCTTTTGAACGACTGTAAATAAAACTTGGCGATTTTTGAAAAACAGACGAAATTTCGACTTTCAAAAAAGTGTCCACAAACCGTTTTTAACGATATTTCATTATTCGACACTTGTTAGACAAGCTCGTGGTAAAATCTTACGTAAGAAGGGGGAGGGGGGGTCAAAATTACCTAAAATCGTCCTTACGTAATTAATGAATGGCCCCTTATTCACACACTACAGGTATCGATGCTACTATACATTAAGTCATAAATAATTAATTATTTATTAATTTTTGAGTAATATAAAAAATTTAAAAGATTTTGCTGGACATTTTGGGCTAATCATATAAATATTTTTTCACACAGTGAAGGGGTTAAGATTAAAACAAACTTTTTCAAAATTGAAAGAAGTTGAACAAAATTTTTCTAAATTAGAAAAATTTTCGTAAAAGTAGGAAAGTAAATTTAAAAGTTTGTTTTTCTCCTTCAAAATATAATTACATTATTGTAATTATGTTTAATTATATATATATAATTAAATAATATAATTATATGTTATAAAATCTTTAATATGATTTCAGTAATGACAATATTAATATTGCATTAGAATTTGAATGGAAAAAAAGGCAATAATACATAATTATAATATTGGCTATTCAAATAATTTTTCGTTTAGCAAGAAACTTTATGTTTATGTATTTACATGTACGTAAAAAAAAAATTAAAAATAGAGTATTTTTGTTAAAATGACTTTTAAATTAAGAAATTACAATATTCTATGAGTAATGTAAAAAAATATTCTTAAGTTATCATGAATCCTATTATTATTAATTTTTTCCTCCTGACAAATACAATATATAAAGGACAATTTTTCCAATAATTTCATCAAATCGTTTCAACATGCCGAGTCCAGAAGAAGATTTCCTCATTTTACTTACTTTCGCCTTTAATTGTAAGTATAAAAAGTTAAATATTAGTTTTTTTTATTTTTCTAATTGCAAATAAATGCAGTATAAACTTTTTCAAAATAAAATTAATATAAAAATTTAATTATTTTTAAAAATTCACGCTATATTGCTTTTAATATTCAATTATTGTTTAAAATTTCAACTGAAATTAATTTTCAAATCAATTTTTATTATAAAATTCTACTAGAATTCAATTACTTAAATACAAAAAAAAATAATTTATTGAATGTTTCTTAAAATTCAATTCCCATAAAGAATCGTTATCAACAAATTTCCAAATAATTGAATTCTATCGACGAATTTTAATAAAATTTTTAAGAATCATTACATTTTTCGAGAATTTTGATTAAAATTATATTAAAAATAATTGAAATTCTGCAATGAGTTTTATTATTTGTGAAAATAATTGAATCCCTCAGAAGAATTTTATTACTTTTGAACAATATTTAATTTTTGCGAAGAATATTATTACTTTTGAAAATAATTGAATTTTTGCAATAATTTGTAACTTTTACAAAATTGAATTCTTTTTTTTCGTGTTTTTAACTAAACATCTTCTATAAATCCACTATTTTTAATAATTTTTGAAGAAGTACTTTAAGAATTTTCAAATTCAATTTAACAAAATTTCAATCATTTGTAAATTCTTCAATTAAATATATATTAGAAAATAAAAACTTTAAATAGTTTCAAAAAATATCCAAAATTAAAGTTTCTCCAAAGAATAATTAATTCCACAGAATTGTTAGTTAAAAATATGAAAAATTTTAATTTTCAAAGATTTTAATTCTGAAACTTTTTCAAAATTCAATTATTTCTAAAAATTTACGCTTTAATGCCCTTTTAAAATTCAATTATAATCTAAAATTTTAACTGAAATCCATTTTTAAATCAATGCTTATGAGAAAATTCTACTAGAATTCAATTATTTAAATACAAAAATAACAATTTATTGAATAAATGAATGTTTCTTAAAATTGAATTCTCATAAAGAATTTTATCTATAAATTTTTAAAGAACTGAATTCTTTAGACGAATTTTTATAACATTTTAAAGAGTTTTTTCGAAGAATTCGATTAAAATTGTATTAAAAATAATTGAAATTCTGCAATGAGTTTTATTATTTACGAAAATAATTGAATTCCTAAAAAGAATTTCATTATTTACGAAAATAATTGCGAAGAAATTTATAAAAAAATGTGTAAATAATGAAATTCCTGTGAAATTTTTATTATTTTTTGAAAATAATTAAAAGTTTAAGTAGAATTTTATTAAATTTTTTTTAAATAATTGAATTCTCTTGGAAAAATTTTTGAAAACAATTGAATTCCAAATTTCCTAGAATTTAAAGTGAAATTGCAATTAAATTTGAATTAATATTATTGTGAAATGTTTCGAAAATTCAAAATCTTTGGTAATCTGTATTTTTCTACAAAAATTTTTATTTTTTTTATAGTTATTCTAAAAAATCTTAGTGGCATTTTGAATATGATTAATGGAATGAACCCTATTGCTCAGGCTATTAAAGCAACTCCTCTAGGAGGTGGGCTGCTTGGATAACAGTAACCAGGTAAAATACTCCTAATATTTAAATAATAATTATTTAGAAAATAATTTTTTAATTACTTTCGTCGAAAATTTGCACTCAAAATTTTAAAAAATCAAAAATTTAATAAATAAACATTTATATAATTAACTAATTTTAATATAATAATTATGAAATAATATTAACATAATAATTATTATAAATTAATATCAATATAATCATTATTAATTAGTATCATTAATTTTTAAACGAATGAAAATTATCAAATTATTTAAAACATTTTAAAAATAAAATATTTACTTCTAATGCTGCTTCACTTGTTTTTGCAGATTTTTATTGTTCTGAAGGAAACAGGAAGTAATTTACACGAATATAACCATGACAATACTGAGAGATGGAGAGGAGAAAATACCCTCTCATGCAATGAGAATGTAAAAAAACTGAATGGAATTATAAATCGTGTGCACCGGAATTGAACTTTTGGAATTATTGATGTCTTTGAATTTAGAAACCAGAAACCACTTCAGCAGTCATCAATGATGGAGCTTGTTAAAATTCTATTCAGTGATTTTTCGCAACGAAAGAAAATATAATGAAGATTATTATAAAATTCAGGTTCAATTATTTATACAATACTGTGAATGTTCCTTCAGAACGATAAAAATATTTCTGATCTCCAAGCAGACTTAATAAATAAATATAAAAATGTAAAATACAATTTTTTTATTCATCTATCCTATACGCAAAATGAAGGGTTTGAAATTTTTCAATAAAATTAATTCTACAGAATTGTTAATTAAAAGTATATGAAAAATTCAAATTTTCAAAGATTTTCGTTTGAAACCTTTTCAAAATTCAATTATTTCTAAAATTTAATATTCAATTATTATCTAAAATTTTAACTAAATTTAATTTCGAAATCAATTTTTATTAGAAAATTCTACGAGAATTCAATTATTTAAATATAAAAATATATAATTTATTGAACAAATAATCGAATATTTATTAAAATTGAATTCTCAGAAAGAATTTTATCAACAAATTTTTAAATAATTGAATTCTATCGACGAATTAATTATTTATTATTAATTATAATTGAAATTCTGCGACCAGTTTTATTATTTATGAAAATAATTGAATTCCTAAAAAGAATTTTATTATTTATGAAAATAATTGAATTTTTACGAAGAAATTTATAAAAAAATTTGTAAATAATTGAATTTTTACGAAGAAATTTATATAAAAAATTTGTAAATAATTAAATTTCAGTAAAATTTTTTATTATTTATGAAAATAATTAAATGTTTACGTAGAATTTTATTAAAATGGTAGATATTGAAATTATTGAATTGAGAAAATTTTTTGCAAATAATTGAAATTTTGCCAAGAATTTTATTATTTATAAAAATAATTGAAATTTTGATGAGAATTTTTTTAAATTTTTGAACAAAATTTCAATTTTTGCGGTGAATATAATTATTTATGAAAATAATTGAATCCCAGAAAAAAATGTTATTAATTATGAAAATAATTGAATTATTGCGAAGTAATTTATAAAAAATTTGTAAATAATTGATTTCCAATGAAATTTTGAAAATGTTGAAAATAATTAAATGTTTACGTAGAATTTTATTAAAACTTTTTTTAAATAATTGAATTCTTTTGGAAATTTTTATTAAAATAGTAGATATATTAAAAATTATTTAATTGAGGAAAATTTAAAAAAAAATTGAAATTTTGCCAAGAATTTCATTAAAATTTTTGAAAATAATTGAATTTTAGAGAATAATTTTGTTATTTATTGAATTTTTGAAAAGAATTTTATTACTTTTGACAATAATTAAATTTCTGCAATCATTTGTAACTTCTCCAAAATTCAATTTTTTTTAGTGTTTTTAACTAAAATTATTCTTCTATAAATCCATTATTTTTAATAATTAATTAAATATAAATTAAAAAATTTAACGAATTTCAGAATAATTTGAATTATTAAAATGTTTCATAAATCTATAAGTTCTTTAAATTGAAATTGAAATTTTATCAAATTTAAAATTGAGACCTTTTGAAGTTCATCTGTTTATGAATATTGTAAACGCAATTTTTAAAATTCAAATAATTTTGAAATATTTAAGTAAAATTATTCATTTAATAATTTCTAAGTAGGTAATAATTTTATGATAATACTTCAAGAATGAAGTTATTTAAAAAGAAATTATTGTCAGAAATAGAAAAATTTGAAGGTTTTTAGAATTCGTGGTAATTTCATAAGGCATACAAAAATGACACGAAAATTCAGAATTTTCTTATGAATTCTAAAAATTAAATTTTTCTCATGGGAAAAAATTAAAAAATAAATTAAAATAAATTCAATTAAAAATACTGCAGTATTTTTAATAAAAATCCTTGACTTTTCCATTCAGGGAAAATTTCAGGGACATGAGTCCCTGAAGTTAGAGTCAAAAATATTATTTGCGATTTTTAGAGATGAAAATGTCACTAATTTTTCCTCTTTCATTCATTTAGGGGTTAAAAATATGTTCAAAGTACGTTTTTCACTAAAAATCTTTGAAATAATTCTTTAATACTTTTCGATTTCACGAAAAAAAAAATATTTTTTACGCTGAGCGTCGACGCTACCAAAATGAATAAAAAAAAAAAAAAAGAAAAATAAGAAAATAAAATAAAGAGTAATTAAAAAATATACTTTTTTCTCGTTAATGAAAAATATCATCTGATATATGAGAAATTCAGTTTCATTTCATTAAAATTTGTACCTTTATTTTTCAATATAGCACACCATGATGAAGTGTTTTTTAAAATAGAAAATTAAAATTTACAATCTGATTTATGTAATAATAAAGAATGCTCAAATATTATAATTTTCATATAATATCTATGTGACTTTTTAAAAATGTGAAAGATAATATAAAGGACAGTCACAAATTTTTTTTTCTATTATTTGCCAATATGTCTTCTGCTTTTGGACTACTGATTCTTTTAATCACCTTTATATTAAAATGTACGTAAAAAAATTGAAAGGAAATGTAATAAAAAAAAAAGAATTTTCCAGAGAAATACTAAAAATTTTGTTGTTTCTTTCTATTATTTCAGTTATTTTAGATCATATTGATGATATAATTAGATTACTTCAAAATATCGCTCCTGTTGTTCGATCATTAAGAAGTAGTCCTAGTATTGGTCAAATTTTAGGCATTCAAAATGGATAGAAGGTAAATTTAAAATAATTATTTTTATTACATATTCTACTGCTCATAAATTTTGAAAACAATAAAATTATTTTTACTTTTTCTTTTTAAAGAAAATTTACTTTTTCATTTTCATCCAAGAAAATTTTTAAGTATGTTAATAATTATTTATATTCACAGAAAGATTTTGTCTCCGCAAAGGAATTCAAACAGTTATTTAAAAAAAAATTCTATCATATTACTCTGTAGTAATTATTAAAAATGTGAATTTAAAATTACACCCACCCGATTAATATTGGAACTTATGTATAATAAAATAAATCATAAAATTATTTCTGCAAATATTATTATAACCTGCACAATCTTTTCCTAAACTAAATTCTATATTTTTAAAATTAATTAAGAAAAAAGTTTTTTAATTTTAAAATTAATTTAATTTTACTCAATTTTTTTTATTAAAGTATAATAATAATTTTGCTCGTGGAATTAACGTTCTCTTTTTGTAATTATTATTAATGTTGTAATTATTATTAATGTTATAATTATAATAATTGTCGTTATAATTTTCAAAATAATTTTGAAAAGATCACAATAGTTTGTTGTTTTCTTTCATTATGTTAAGTTTAACACTTTTTTTTCATTTTTTTACATATAAAATGTTTATTTATATTAATACAAACGAATATCCGGAAAATGATTGTATAATTAATAATGATAGTGAATAAATATCATTTAAAAAATTTAACATATTTCATATTATCATGATTGATAATAAAAAATCATAAATAAACATACAGTAAGAAATTATTATTATTATTATTATTATTATTAATAGTAATAATAATTATAATAATAATTTATAATAATAATAATTGTTATAATAATAAATATTATTATTTTTAATATTATTATTTAAAATAATTATTGTTCAGAAAAATCACAATTATATGTACGTATGGGAGGACAAAAAAAAGTCGAATTGAATAATAAGGAAAAAAATCGAATTTTTTCTCTCTTCGGAAAAGAAAACCAAAAAAAAAGTAACAAGAATAATATTAAGAAAGAAAAAAAAAGAAATCTATTTTTAAAATTCAGGTGACTTATATTTTTTTCTTCATAATATATGTTATCGATATTATGCAAAATAAAAAGGAATTGCAGTCATTCACAATTCACATATTTTAATGTGATAATAATGAATTTCTTAGCATTCGCAAAGGAATATAAAAGGTGTTCAGTTCTCGTACTCTGAAAAAAATATGATAATAATGGCGCTCCTTAATCTTGTCTTATTTCTTCTAATTACTATATTAAAAAGTAAAAAAAATTAAAAAAAAAATTTCTTGTCTTTTTAATTAAATAATACCGAATTATTTACTTTTTGTATTATTCTAGATATACCGGGAATTATGGAGCCGCTTACTCAATTGCTTCAAAGCCTTTTGCCAGTGCTTCAAAGTTTACAGAGTTATTTAGAAAATTTGGGTATAAATTTAAACAGTACTTCATCCGGTACTACAACAACTGCTGCACCGTCTCTTTTACCTCGTCTAAATTTACCTAAAGTTACTGGTTAAAACAGTGATCAGGTATTTTTTTTTCTTAATTTCATAAGTTTACTATAATTATTTAATTATTAAAATTTCTATTATTTACAATTATCAATTTTTTTACATTCTAAAAATTAAATTTTTACTAATTCATTAATTATTTTGTGAAGAAGATTAAATTCATAATTAATAAAAGTGTAAAAATGTAAATACATTGTTATTAATTATAAATGAAAAGTACGATTGAGAATTAAGTGGAAAATTGTTGATTTTTAAATTGTCGATAAATTAAAATCAAATTAGAAATCAAGTTCAAAAATTAAAATCAAAATTGAAAACACGATTTTTATTCACGTTTTTTTTATATCACAATTTACAGAACAGTTTATATAGAATTTTACCAGTGATTGACATTATTTTTATGTACAATTTTCTAGGTTCCTATATTTCGACCACTAATGAAAACTGACAAACCTTAATAGCGACAGAAATAAATTTTAGCAAGGCAAAATAAAATAGATTTGACGTCAAACAATAAAATATGACGTATGCAATTTAATTTATCAAGAAAAAAAAAATGGAAATAAATATTAAAAACAGAATGACGTTGCACAATTTTCTGAAGAGTAAACGGTATTTTTTAATTTAGTCAATTTGAAATTCACAAATGTATTGACAGTATTAAATCTCAATATCAAATATTAAATAGAATATATTTATTAATAACTGTGTAATTAAATATATTATATTAAATATTTGTATAATATTCAAATTTACAAAATTCGACTAATGTATAATAGAAAAAATTGTAAAAAGAAAATAAAATTTATAAAATTGAGAAAATAAAATATTTAACAAAAAATAATAATTTTGTTTAATTATTATTAATAGGCAAGTAAAAATCACTTGCGAAGAATGTGTAAACTAATTGAAAAAATATTCACAATAAACAAATATTAAATAAATATAGAAGCAAATGAAAATTTTTTTATTAAAAACAAAAAAAATTTTTGTATATTATTTACAAGTAATAAAAAAAAGCAATTTTAAATTTTTCATCTAAAATAGTATTTTTTTTTTTGAATTTGATATTTATATGTCACTCATAGTATATCAAAATTATCTGAAGCATCTCTTGCATCCTACACATTTGACAGTGCTATCTCTCTGTTATATATATAGATATAGGGTTTTCACAGGACGATAAGTTCAACGAGGTAAATATATTTCGAATATCAAAATCTATTCAATGATTTTTGCGATAGTCATAGACAATTATAATGATTGTCATATTATATCAGATTGACAGTTTTCTAAATTTAAAAATATCCGGGGAAAAAAGTAAACAGAAAATATTCATTTTTTCTGCAATATCTGTAACTTCTTAAAAATTATTTTCATAGTTTCAATTCAATTATTATTTTCTAAAATTTAAAAAAAAAATTCTAATAATTTATGATAAAGTTATCTTTTGAGAATTTTCAAATTCATTTGTCTACAATTCAGTTTTACCAAATTTTGATTATTCGAAAATTCTTCAATTAAATATACATTAGAAAATAAAAACTTGAAATAATTTTAAAAAATTGCGATTAAACTTTTTGAAAAAAGTTAGTCCCATACAATTTTTAATTAAAAAGTATGAAAAATTCAAATTTACAAAGATTTTAATTTGAAACTATGTATTACAAAATTCAATTATTTCTAAAAATTGCAATTATTAGTTACTTCTCGAAAGTTAAATCTCCCTTCTTTTGGGAAATTTTATTAAAATAATAGAAATACAAATTATTGAGTTAAGAAACTTTTTTGAAAATAATTGAAATTTTGCTATGAATTTTATTAAAATTTTTGAAAATCATTGAATGTTATTACTTTAAAGAATAATTGAATTCTTGTGATGAATATACTATTATTTATGAAAATAATTGAATTTTGTCGAAGAATTTTGCTATATTCAATTATAAAGATAATTGAAATAATGACGACAATTTTTTTTTTTGGATTCTTTGAAAATAATTGAATTTTTGCGAATAATTTTATTAATTTTGAAAATAATTGAATGCTTCTGATGAATATTGTTATTTATGAAAATAATTGAATTTTACAATGAATATTATAAAAATTCTTGAATATAATTGAATTTCGGCGAAGAATTTTGCTATTTATAAAAATAATTAAAATGTTGACGAGAATTTTTAAAAAAATTTTGAAAATAATTGAATTTCTGTAAAGAATTTTAATGTTTATTTAGATAGTTAAATTCTTTCAAATAATTGCGTTAAAATTTTTAAAATTGAAACTAATTTTAACAGAATTGAAATTAAAAGTTTTTCATAAAAATACTTCATTTAATGATTTATAAGTAATAACTTTATGGCAGTTCTTCAATAAAATTAAGATATTTAAAATAAATTATTGTCAGAAATAGTAAAAATTTAAGGTTTTTTTTTAGAATTCGTGGTAATTTTATAGTTTATGAGACAAGCAAAAACACAAAAATTCAGAGTTTTCTTATAAATTCTAAACATTTAATTTTTTCCAGTACTTTTAATAAAAATCCCTGACTTTTCCCTGATTATTAATTAATTAAGTATATATTATTAATTAATTGATTATATATTATTAATTTATTAATATACTATTACTAATTTATTAATATATTATTAATCAAATTTTTACTTTTTTGAAATTCGCGCCAAAACAGTTAATAAAATTGCCGCCTAGATGGCATGAAAATTCGCTCATAAACGAAATGAAGTAGAATGAAGTACATGGTTCTAATTTTAATTTTTCAGACCAAAAAGACAATATAAATTTTAATTTCAATTTTAGATTTATAGAAGCGAATAGAAATTTTAATTCTATTGTTAAAACATAAATTTATAATTCAAAATTAGAATTTTATATTTAAAATTCTAATAAGATGGTTAAAATTTGTCATATTCGTTTATCAGCTCTTATGAAAAACAAATTTTTGTAATTTACGTTTTTCAACGTATATTCGAATACGAATAGAGAATAGAATAAAGAGTAGATAGAGAATAAAAAAGAGCACAATAGGAAGGTTGTAAATTAATCATTTTTTACTATATTGAGTAAATTAAATTACATTAATTATGTTACTAAAATTCTTACTATCTCAAACATCTCTTCCTTGTACTATATTTACTCTGACTTCGTTATCACTGTTATTTGGAGTATCAGAAGATAACAATTATCCAGAGGTAGGAGAAAAAATTTTCCCTCTTCTTTAACATTTTATTTTTAATTTAATTTTTTTTATTTCAATTCTTTTAATTTTAACATAAATATTTTCAAATTTTATGTATTTATTAAATAAATATTGAGATTTTACAAATAAAAATCTGTTTTTCCACAGATTTTTCGCAAGGAACCAAAAGAGTATGATTTCATAGTAATTGGTGCTGGAACAGCAGGAAGCGTGATTGCAAATCGACTGACAGAGAACGGCAATTGGAACGTAAATATATAATTAATAACCAATGTTGAAAATTTATTTACTAAATTAGATAATTTTTAGGTTCTTTTATTGGAAGCAGGAAAAGAGGAACCACTATTAACGGCAATACCGGCGTTTACTGAATTATTTACCGGTACGCCTTACGATTGGAAATATCAAACTCGTCCGGAAAATAATGCATGCAATCTACGAGGTTTTGTCCCATTGAGAGGTGGAAAAGTAATTGTTAATGAATAATTTACCATCAAATCACGAATTAAAAATTAAATCTTTGATAATTAAAACAACGAAATTAAAATTTAATAATCGATAATTAAAAATAACGAATTTAAAATTCAATCTCTGATAATTTAAAATAAAACGAATTCAAAATTCAATCTTTGACAATTAAAAAAAAAAAAAATTCAAAATTGAATCTTTTATTACTGTTTTTAAATGGAAAAGTAAATATTTTCTCTTTGGTAATTTAATCAAAAGCGAAATAAAAACTAAAAATAGATCATTTTTTCTAAAAAAAGAAGCAAAAATTTCTTTGATAATTTAATAAAAAAAATTTCATAACTATTTTGAAATAAGTAATTATTTACCATCAGAAAATGCGAATTAAAAATTTATTCGTTGATAATACTTTTTTCCAGGTAATGGGAGGAACAACTTCGATAAATTATATGCTATACGTAAGGGGAAATCGTGAAGATTATAATAATTGGGAACGAATGGGAAATACTGGTTGGAGTTACAACGATGTGTTACCCTACTTTATGAAATCAGAAGATAACAGAGATCAGGACGTAAGTTATTCAAAACGAGAATAATTCATTACTGGGAGAATAAAATTATCTCTAATTTGCCACTAGTTTATTCATTTGATTTTTTGTATAGATAATTCATTAATTTCAATTGACTAATAAAAAACACAAAATTAAATCAATTTTTTTAATATTTTTTTTAAACTTAACAATTTTACTCAGATTTTTACGTTTTTTATTTATTTATTGTTTTTTCGTTTCTTCCCTTTGAATAAAATTTTAGTATGTTTCTAAAGTTCTAAACATTCAAAAGAAAGATTTATTTCTTTAAATTATAAATTTTATTACGCAATAATACACTTTCACGTACGAAAAAATTAAATAATAAAGTTTTTTATTACATTTTTCCATGTAATATTACGTAAAAAAGGGGATTTTACATTTCAAAAAGAGAATTCAGTTTTAAAACAGGGAAATTTTCCAAATTAAAAAAAAATTATTGCATTGCAGCCGGTAAGATTTATTTTAAATACTTTTTTTTTACTTTTTCTCTTAACTACAGCTTTTTTTAATCAAATTATTTTTTTTTTGTTAAATTTTTTGTTAGGTAATCAATAATATTTTTGTTTATCTTTTTCCGTAGTCTGTACCTTTCTTAAAATTTTTAAACTAAATTTTTATTGCAATGCTACTTTTGTTTTAAAATTCCAAGAATTTTACTAAATACGAAGTAAATTTCATAAGAAAAATTAGTAAAATTAACTTGAGACTTGAAAATATTTCCTTCGAAAACAGTAAAATATAATATTACAAATTGTTATTTGCAGAATAACTTTTACAATTTTCAAAGACAATTTTTTTCTATAAAAATTCGAAAAATTTAGATACTTCAAAAATAGTAAAATTTATTCTAAAAATAAGAATTTTTAATAGCTGATTGTAATTTTCGAGGAAAATTTGAATAATTTATGTAAAAAAATTAACATTGATGTGTTGAGAGGATTTTATTAATTTACTCTCTAAATTTTAATTAGCAAACGTGTTTACTAAATTAGTGGCTGACTTTTTGCTTTTAAATTAGTAAATTCTACTAATAAATGGTAATTTCTACTTATTTATTAGTAAAATTTACTAATTCAAAAATAAAAAATCTGTCACTGATTTAAATTAGTAAAAATGTTTACCAATTTAAATTAGTGACTGACTAAAATTAAGTAAAAAATAACTAATTAATAAAATATAACTGTTTATTAGTAAAAGATAGCAAAATATGAATTGAAAGTAATTATAAGAAAATTAGTTATTTATTATTTATACAGTTATTTTATATTTGTTACTTTGTACTTATAAAAATTTGCTTCGAATAGGTTTTTTTTCTTCTAAATCGTTAATTATTATAAACGTTGTGAACTCTATCAAAGTTCAAATGCTAAAATTTCCAGTGCAAATACAATTCATTTCATTAAAATAAAAATTATTTGATTCATATTTATTTGTCAATAGACAAGTAATCGATTATTTAAATAAAAAAAAATTTTTGTCAGTGTTTGTAAAGAAATAATATTTCCTCTATTTGAACGTTTAGAAACTTGTGGATCATATTTAAATAAATTTTTATTTTCAATAAATATATAATGCAATAAAAAATAAATATATTTAATTTAATAATTTATTTAATTTAAATAATTTCATTTATTTAATTTAATAATTTAATAAAATATAAATAAATTTGACTCGCTCCCCAAAAAGAGGTACTTAAGAAACAAATCATTTTAAAGTTATGCTTGCGTTACATTTATCTTAATTAAAAATTCTTTTTTTAATTGTTTTAATTTGAAACCATCTTTACTTACATATTTTTCATGTAATGTAGACTGGAAGTTTAATAATTTTTAATAATAATTATTTCTCTTTATTTTTACTCAAAAAATTATTAACATAATCTGAAATTGTTTACTTATTAAGTACCTTTCTTTGGGAGCACGTTACATATAAAGAATATTAAATAACAGTAAAAATAAAATATGCAATAAAAATAGAAAATAAAAAAAAATAAATGAAAAGGTGAAGTAATTATTCTAATTTCCAGATTTTACAAGGTGGTTCAATGTACCATGGAACCGGTGGTTACTTAACAGTCGAACGATTCCAACACGTAGATCCAAGAACCAACATAATCCTTCGAGCATACCAAGAATTTGGATTGAGACCAACCGATATTAACGGTGAAAACCAAATTGGTTCAATGCTTGCCCAATCAACAACGAGAAATGGATCCCGAATGAGCACGAATAGAGCATTCATTAGACCAATAAGACGAAGAAATAATTTATTCATCAAAAATCAAGTGTACGTGACGAAAATTTTAATCGAACCAATAACAAAAATTGCCTACGGTGTTCAGTACACATCAACATTAACGGGCGACACTAAAATAGCACTGGCAAAAAAGGAAGTAATCATTTCAGCCGGTTCAATAGAATCACCAAAATTACTAATGCTCTCCGGCATTGGACCCATAAAAGAACTCTTTCTCCATGCAATTCCAATTTTAAAAAATCTATCAGTTGGTCACAATTTACACGATCATATGGGTGCTCTAGGTTTAGTAGGCAGTACAGGTGAAGGTTTCTCATTTTTTCCCAGCTGCGAACGAAATATGAATGATTTAAATGATTTCTACGATCAACATAGAGGACCATTGGCATCAGTTGGGCCAATATCGGCGACTGGTTTCTTTCAAACAACACAAGAGAATAGAACAGGCGTTCCCGATATTCAACTATTTAACGGTGGTTTCAGTCCAATTCTACCCTATTACAATATGTTTGGAATAATACCCGCAATTCTCGCACCGAAAACCAGAGGATTTGTTAGACTCAATAAATTGAATCCAATATTGGGAAATCCGGAAATTAATCATAAATGTTTGGCGGACGCTGATGTTGATACATTGAGGGAAGCGACATATATGGCGATAAGGATATTCAATACCACAGTGTTTAGGGAGAATAATTTTACACTTATAAATAAACCATTGCCAGGTTGTCATATGCACGAGTACAATACTGATGATTATTGGAATTGTGTGATTAGAAAATTTTCCTTTTTAGTTAATGAACAGGTTGGAACGTGTAAAATGGGTCCACGAGAGGATACTGAAGCGGTTGTTGATCCGCGATTACGTGTTCATGGAATTAAAAATTTAAGAGTCGCTGACGCTTCAATTATACCTGTAATACCTAGGGGAAGTACAATGGCACCGGTTATAATGATTGGCGAAAAGGCTAGTGATATGATTAAACAAGATTGGCCCTAATTTGTGTGCTACTTAAAATTTATTCAAATTAGTGGCATTCATTAGAAACTTGATAAAATTTATTCAAGTTATTAAAATTTATTAACAACTTGATACAAATTTATTAATGTTATTGAAATTTATTAAAAACTTAATAAAATTTATTAATATAATTGAAATCTATTAAACAAGTTGTTCATTTCATGATCATTAAGCTTCCTCAATATAATATATACCAATCGTTTAATTTTTTATTTTAGAATAATTATTTTAAAGTGTTAAGATAAAATTTCAAAAAATACAAAATTTCAATTTTTTGTGAAAAATTAAAATATTTATTAATTCTATAAATTTGAATAAAATATATACTTTATATACATGAATCAATTCGTTTTTATGTCAGGAATGCAATTTTGCCAAGAATTAATAAAAATTTTAATTAAGAAAAAAGTTATTTCAAAAAATCCAAAAATTAATTTTTACAAAAATTAAAAAATTGTTGAAAAAAAATTTTTTTTTAGATATTTTCGAAAATCCTTCTGTCTGATTTTTGATATTCGTGACCGTAATACACCTAAAAAATTTTATCAAAATACGTCAAGACGTGTAAGAGAAAATTTGTCCACAAGAATCGGTGACATACACACACACACACACATACATACACACACACACACACACACACACACACACACACACACACACACACACACACACACACACACATACACACATACATCCGGACATTTGTTCCTCTCGACGAATTATATATACTACACTTGGAAATTTGTAAAAATAATTGGTTCTAAAAAATTCGGAAATCGACATCACTATAAGGCTTCCTTTATGAGGAAGCAAAATTAAAATAAAATTTTCTATTCTTCAGGATTGAGTAGGGCTCGGTCCCTACTAGAAATCAGGTGATTTTCAGATGATTAGAAATATTAAATTTGGTATAAATAAATTTTTATTGTATTTTTACACAAATTTCGATTGTCTGATAGCGTTCGGGTGGTGGTGCTACTACTTAAAAATTGAAATAAAATTCTATATTCTTCAGGATTGAGTAGGGCTCGGTCCCTACTAGAAATCAGGTGATTTTCAGATGATTAGAAATATTAAATTTGGTATAAATAAATTTCTAATATATTTTTACACAAATTTCGATTGTCTGATAGCGTTCGGGTGGTGGTGCTACTACTTAAAAATTGAAATAAAATTCTATATTCTTCAGGATTGAGTAGGGCTCGGTCCCTACTAGAATCAGGTGATTTTCAGATGATTAGAAATATTAAATTTGGAAGAAATAAATTTTTAATGTATTTTCACACAAATTTCGATTGTCTGATAGCGTTCGGGTGGTGGTGCTACTACTTAAAAATTGAAATAAAATTCTATTCTTCAGGATTGAGTAGGGCTCGGTCCCTACTAGAAATCAGGTGATTTTCAGATGATTAGAAATATTAAATTTGGATGAAATAAATTTTTAATGTATTTTTACACAAATTTCGATTGTCTGATAGCGTTCGGGTGGTGGTGCTACTACTTAAAAATTGAAATAAAATTCTATATTCTTCAGGATTTAGTAGGGCTCGGTCCCTACTAGAAATCAGGTGATTTTCAGATGATTAGAAATATTAAATTAGGTATAAAAAAATTTTTATGTTTTATTACACAAATTTCGATTGTCTGATAGCGTTCGGGTGGTGGTGCTACTACTTAAAAATTGAAATAAAATTTTCTATTCTTCAGGATTGAGTAGGGCTCGGTCCCTACTAGAAATCAGGTGATTTTCAGATGATTAGAAATATTAAATTTGGTATAAATAAATTTTTATTGTATTTTTACACAAATTTCGATTGTCTGATAGCGTTCGGGTGGTGGTGCTACTACTTAAAAATTGAAATAAAATTCTATATTCTTCAGGATTGAGTAGGGCTCGGTCCCTACTAGAAATCAGGTGATTTTTAGATGATTAGAAATATTAAATTTGGATGAAATAAATTTTTATTGTATTTTTACACAAATTTCGATTGTCTGATAGCGTTCGGGTGGTGGTGCTACTACTTAAAAATTGAAATAAAATTCTATATTATTCAGGATTGAGTAGGGCTCGGTCCCTACTAGAAATCAGGTGATTTTCAGATGATTAGAAATATTAAATTGGGTATAAAAAAATTTTTTATGTTTTATTACACAAATTTCGATTGTCTGATAGCGTTCGGGTGGTGGTGCTACTACTTAAAAATTGAAATAAAATTTTCTATTCTTCAGGATTGAGTAGGGCTCGGTCCCTACTAGAAATCAGGTGATTTTCAGATGATTAGAAATATTAAATTTGGAATAAATAAATTTTTATTGTATTTTTACACAAATTTCGATTGTCTGATAGCGTTCGGGTGGTGGTGCTACTACTTAAAAATTGAAATAAAATTCTATATTCTTCAGGATTGAGTAGGGCTCGGTCCCTACTAGAAATCAGGTGATTTTTAGATAATTAGAAATATTAAATTGGGTATAAAAAAATTTTTTATGTTTTTTTAAACAAATTTCGATTGTCTGATAGCGTTCGGGTGGTGGTGCTACTACTTAAAAATTGAAATAAAATTTTCTATTCTTCAGGATTGAGTAGGGCTCGGTCCCTACTAGAAATCAGGTGATTTTCAGATGATTAGAAATATTAAATTTGGAAGAAATAAATTTTTAATGTATTTTTACACAAATTTCGATTGTCTGATAGCGTTCGGGTGGTGGTGCTACTACTTAAAAATTGAAATAAAATTCTATATTCTTCAGGATTGAGTAGGGCTCGGTCCCTACTAGAAATCAGGTGATTTTCAGATGATTAGAAATATTAAATTTGGATGAAATAAATTTTTATTGTATTTTTACACAAATTTCGATTGTCTGATAGCGTTCGGGTGGTGGTGCTACTACTTAAAAATTGAAATAAAATTCTATATTCTTCAGGATTCAGTAGGGCTCGGTCCCTACTAGAAATCAGGTGATTTTCAGATGATTAGAAATATTAAATTTGGATGAAATAAATTTTTAATGTATTTTTACACAAATTTCGATTGTCTGATAGCGTTCGGGTGGTGGTGCTACTACTTAAAAATTGAAATAGAATTCTATATTCTTCAGGATTGAGTAGGGCTCGGTCCCTACTAGAAATCAGGTGATTTTCAGATGATTAGAAATATTAAATTTGGATGAAATAAATTTTTAATGTATTTTTACACAAATTTCGATTGTCTGATAGCGTTCGGGTGGTGGTGCTACTACTTAAAAATTGAAATAAAATTCTATATTCTTCAGGATTGAGTAGGGCTCGGTCCCTACTGGAAATCAGGTGATTTTCAGATGATTAGAAATATTAAATTGGGTATAAAAAAATTTTTTATGTTTTTTTACACAAATTTCGATTGTCTGATAGCGTTCGGGTGGTGGTGCTACTACTTAAAAATTGAAATAAAATTTTCTATTCTTCAGGATTGAGTAGGGCTCGGTCCCTACTAGAAATCAGGTGATTTTCAGATGATTAGAAATATTAAATTTGGTATAAATAAATTTTTATTGTATTTTTACCCAAATTTCGATTGTCTGATAGCGTTCGGGTGGTGGTGCTACTACTTAAAAATTGAAATAAAATTCTATATTCTTCAGGATTCAGTAGGGCTCGGTCCCTACTAGAAATCAGGTGATTTTCAGATGATTAGAAATATTAAATTTGGATGAAATAAATTTTTAATGTATTTTTACACAAATTTCGATTGTCTGATAGCGTTCGGGTGGTGGTGCTACTACTTAAAAATTGAAATAGAATTCTATATTCTTCAGGATTGAGTAGGGCTCGGTCCCTACTAGAAATCAGGTGATTTTCAGATGATTAGAAATATTAAATTTGGATGAAATAAATTTTTATTGTATTTTTACACAAATTTCGATTGTCTGATAGCGTTCGGGTGGTGGTGCTACTACTTAAAAATTAAAATAAAATTTTCTATTCTTCAGGATTGAGTAGGGCTCGGTCCCTACTAGAAATCAGGTGATTTTCAGATGATTAGAAATATTAAATTTGGAATAAATAAATTTTTATTGTATTTTTACACAAATTTCGATTCTCTGATAGCGTTCGGGTGGTGGTGCTACTACTTAAAAATTGAAATAAAATTCTATATTCTTCAGGATTGAGTAGGGCTCGGTCCCTACTAGAAATCAGGTGATTTTCAGATGATTAGAAATATTAAATTGGGTATAAAAAAATTTTTTATGTTTTATTACACAAATTTCGATTGTCTGATAGCGTTCGGGTGGTGGTGCTACTACTTAAAAATTGAAATAAAATTTTCTATTCTTTAGGATTGAGTAGGGCTCGGTCCCTACTAGAAATCAGGTGATTTTCAGATGATTAGAAATATTAAATTTGGTATAAATAAATTTCTAATATATTTTTACACAAATTTCGATTGTCTGATAGCGTTCGGGTGGTGGTGCTACTAATTAAAAATTGAAATAAAATTCTATATTCTTCAGGATTGAGTAGGGCTCGGTCCCTACTAGAAATCAGTTGATTTTCAGATGATTAGAAATATTAAATTGGGTATAAAAAAATTTTTTATGTTTTTTTACACAAATTTCGATTGTCTGATAGCGTTCGGGTGGTGGTGCTACTACTTAAAAATTGATATAAAATTTTCTATTCTTCAGGATTGAGTAGGGCTCGGTCTCTACTAGAAATCAGGTGATTTTCAGATGATTAGAAATATTAAATTTGGTATAAATAAATTTCTAATATATTTTTACACAAATTTCGATTGTCTGATAGCGTTCGGGTGGTGGTGCTACTACTTAAAAATTGAAATAAAATTCTATATTCTTCAGGATTGAGTAGGGCTCGGTCCCTACTAGAAATCAGTTGATTTTCAGATGATTAGAAATATTAAATTTGGTATAAATAAATTTGTAATACATTTTTACACAAATTTCGATTGTCTGATAGCGTTCGGGTGGTCGTGCTACTACTTAAAAATTGAAATAAAATTCTATATTCTTCAGGATTGAGTAGGGCTCGGTCCCTACTAGAAATCAGTTGATTTTCAGATGATTAGAAATATTAAATTGGTTATAAAAAAATTTTTTATGTTTTTT